GGATTCTACAGACTGTTGAGGGTTCAGCCTCCTGATGAGTCGGTGAAACTCCGACGAAACAGTTTGTCACAGCCCCTCGTTTGTTTGTCCTCTTCTCCCTCTCTGCCTACGGTTTACCGGGCAGTTCTATTTGACGATATATACAAAAAAAAAAAAAAAGTAGTCCTCTTTTATCTGTTGATTAGGGCCGGAGGAAAGTATTGTTGGGTTGGTTTCCTACCTGCGTGTTACCTCCCACCCACCCTTTGCATACATTTTCCGGGTTGGTACAGTAACACATCAACAGTGCCACATCAACAATGACATGTCAGCTACAGTGACACGTCAACAGTGCCACGTCAGACACAGTGCCACGTAAGCAGTGCCACGTCAGACACAGTGCCACGTCAGCAGTGCCACGTCAGACACAGTGCCATGTCAGCAGTGCCATGTCAGACACAGTGCCACGTCAGCAGTGCCACGTCAGCAGTGCCACGTCAGCAGTGCCCCGCCACCATGACGGGCGCAGCTTTGGGCATGTCAGGCCAACTGGCCAATGAGTCCATTGCCGACTACAAAAAGTGCTTCCAGGCTCAGCTCGTTGCAATCGAGGCTGAGGAACAACGCCAGCTGGCAGTCAAGGCTGCCCAGCTACAGGCTGAAGAAGCGGCAACAACAGAGAAGCTGCGGCTTCAGGCCGAAGCAGACGCAGATACCCAGGCTCGCCGCAAGGAAGCCCAGGATCTGCTGCTGCGGCATGAAGCCAACAACATCGACAGACTCAAGTTCTGGCACTTTGAACCGAACGGCGACGAACCAACATCGGAAGAGAAGCATAAGGAGTTCATGGCCAAGCTCGTGACCAGGCTGGTTTACACATGTAACCACCTGCAGTCCGAGCTGGCAAACCTTCAGCGGGCTGTGCGGAACCATAAGACTCAGCATGAGGATGCCACACGGGCACTAGACGCCCGTGTACTGGACCTGGAACAGGCTGTACCATGACCAGCTGTTGGGGCTTCCAGCAGTGCATCCTCTAGCCGTCAATTGGAGGAACGCGTTGACCACGTAGTGGCAATGTTAGGAGACATAAGTGCCTTCACAGAGCCGGCCACCATCAGCCAGCGGTTCGAGTTGCTGGACACTAAGATCAGTCAGCAACAGCAGACCGACCACAGCCACAACAACAGCTCGGCAAGGCCATACAAGATGCTGACGTTCCGGATCGAGAAATTTGATGACTACACACATCAAGACCCGGTCGTCTGGTGGCAAGGATTTACAACGGAGTTGGGGATCCACGAGGTCCCTGACCATCTGTTCATCAGTGCTCTGTTCATCAACACCAAGGGAGGATGTCAGATCTGGCTCAGCCACATGGCAACCATCCACGGCGTCCAGGTTTCAAACCTACACAAGGTCTCCTGGGCAGATATGACCAAAGGAATGGAAGAAGCGGTTCATAGTGGATGACGCGCCTGCGCTCGCCATCAACCGCATCTTCGCGATGTCTCAAGGGAGCACACCGATACGTGACCGGCTCACGGATTGGCAGAAGATCGTGGCCACGCCCAATCTGGACCTGCCATTTCCACATCTGCGCCGTGAGTTCTACAACAGGTCATGCCCCGCTTTGAGCCTCGCACTTGGTGATCGCGAGCAGTACCACACTTTCGCAGAGATCATCAACAAGGCGAGAGAGATCATCAAGACCAACAGGTCAGCTGCACACGAGAAATCAACATGGCAGCCGACCTATGTGGAGAAGGCACGAACTGGTCCGCGACAGCAGCACTTCGCTGCAGTCCAGCAGGACAGTGGAGATAACCCAGCAGCCACTCCAGCATCAAGTGATGGAGATCAGGTGGCTGCTGTCCAGCCGCAAAGCAACAACAAGTCCCGCAACAATGGGAAGGCGAAATCCGCATCGCACGCCGGAAATGGACAACCAGTACAAGTTCCATGGGTCAAGTTCGGCTAGACCGAGGCGGAGTACAAAGTCCGCGGCCGCTACGGCAGCTGCTATTGGTGCAACAGCACCAAGCACAAGACCTCCCTGTGCCAGGATCAGGGCAAGGAGGATGTGCGACCCCGCCTCAGCTTGGGAAATTGAGCTCCGCGGAAGGTGAGGTGACTCCACCTTCCACTCCGCCAGATTCGGCCGCCTTGCTAGCAGTCTCCTGCACATCTGGGGAGGACGCGAATGTCGCAAGTTCTCATTACTCTTACGAGGACTATGCTGTCTACTTGGTTCCACCGCTGGACCAGCCGCTCCACGTGCAACAGTCCACCGCRTGCACGGTTTCATCACCATCGGCAACCGATTCGGCACCTTYGCCGCAATCTATCGCCGGGGATTCGACGTCATGGTCAAGACTTGATGAGCTCGACCCGTTGACGTTCACGGACTTCCAGTGGATGCCCATTCCCTCGACCGGACGATTGCCGAAACCGCATTGCAATGGGCTCATGGCACAACTGCGGGACTACTTGCACACTGCAGTACCAGCTCCGTTGATGGACGGCGGAGTAAAGGTTGTCAACCTTCACGAGTACATCGCGAAGATTGACCGCGAGTTCAAGACGCAACGGTATGACGACATCGACGCACCATTGCTATACATACGTATTCAGATTGGTGAGGCGACCTGCAGTGCCTTGATCGATTGCGGAGCATCTCGCAACTACATCAGCTAGGACTTCATGGTGCGCGCCGGCCTTGGCCCACGTGTCCGGAGGAAGTCCCAGCCTACGCAAGTCACGTTGGCAGACGGTCATGCACACAAGTCAATCGACCGGTGCATTGACGCCGTCCCCGTGTACTTTGCCCCTCACGCAAGTGAGGCGGTGTCCTTTGACATTCTGGACACCAAATTTGACATGATCTTGGGCATGTCATGGCTGTGAAGCGAGGATCACCCGGTGAACTTCTTCAACCGCACCGTTCACATTCGTGATCGGAACGGAGTACTAGTTCCATGCACGGTGCCTCTTCCTCATCCTTCTATCAACCGCCACGTGGTATCCGCCGCAAGCATGCGAGCATCCATCATCAGAGACGACATCGAGGAGATGGGGGTATGTTTTCTCCACGCCCTCCCGCCCCGAGCCGCTTCATTGACGGACTCATCTTTGGATCCATGCATCACCGAGCTTCTCGACGCTTACAGCGACGTGTTCAAAGGCCCGCACGGAGTAGTACCGGATCGGCCCATCCGCCACGAGATCATCCTCGAGGACGGGGCCGTACCTCCGCGTGGCTGCATCTATCGAATGAGCAAGGAAGAGTTAAGTGTGCTCCGTGCATAACTCGACGATCTTCTAGAGAAAGGTTGGATTCGGCCTAGCTCATCGCCATACGGTGCTCCTGTCCTCTTCGTCCGGAAGAAGAACAAGGACCTGCGGTTGTGCATCGATTATCGCAAGCTCAACGCGCAGACGATCAGGAACGCCGACCCTCTCCCACGCATTTACATTCTCGAGCGATTGGGCGGTGCCCAGTTCTTCTCTAAGCTGGATCTCAAGTCAGGGTACCACCAACTCGAGATTCGCAAGGAGGATCGCGACAAGACCGCGTTTAAGACACGGTATGGGCATTTCGAATGCCCATACCGTTTGGCCTTACGAATGCCCCAGCCACTTTCCAAACGACTATGACAACGGAGTTCCGACACATGCTGGATCGGTTTGTACTCATCTACCTCGACGACATCTTCGTGTATAGTCGGAGTTTGGACGAGCATGTGGAACACCTGCGCACCGTTTTGGAGCGGCTACGACAAGCCAAGTACAAAGCAAATCGCGGCAAGTGCGAGTTCGCAGAGCAGGAGCTGGAATACTTGGGACACTATGTGACGCCGCAAGGCATCCGTCCGCTTGCGGACAAGATCAAGGCCCTACCAGTATGGCCCGAGCCCACCAACACCACAAACGTTCGTTCATTCATGGGATTGGCGGGCTGCTATCAGCGGTTCATCTCCGGGTACTCCAGGATTGCTGCACCCATGACGAGGTTACAATCGCCAAAGGTGCCATTCGTATTCGATGATGCGGCACGCCGGTCATTCCAAGCACTTAAGACGACTATGCTCATGGCACCCGTCCTTAGCATCTATGACCCCACCCTGCCGACGCGAGTGACTACGGACGCTTCCGGCTATGGCATTGGGGCAGTCTTGGAACAGCACGACGGCGATGACTGGCACCCTGTGGAGTATTTCAGCCACAAAGTGCCTCCCATCAACTCGCTTGATGATGCAAGGAAGGAGCTGCTCGCATTCGTCATGGCTCTCAAGCGATGGGGACACTTCCTTCTTGGGCGTCGTAGGTTCACATGGGTCACGGACAACAATCCATTGACTTACTACAAGACGCAGGATACGGTGAGCAGCACGATCGGACGATGGATGTACTTCATCGACCAATTTGACTTCACATCGAAACATCTGCCCGACCTCTCAAATCGCGCAGCAGATGCCCTCTCGCAAAGACCCGATCTTTGCGCTATGACACATCATGCCTTCGCATTCGACGAGGAGCTTCAACGACACTTCATCCGGGCATATCAGTCTGATCCGGACTTCGGCACGCTCTATGCACAGCTATCTTCGGATCACCCGCCGGCCAGCCATTACCGCATTGCCGACGGGTACTTGCTCCTCCACTCGAGAGGCAAGGACCCACGCGACCGTCGACTGCGGACTCGCCTCCTTGGCGAGTATCATGATTCACGACTCGCTGGCCATTTCGGAGTCAACCGCACTATTGCACGGCTTCGACAGCGATTCCGATGGCCCGACCTCATTACCGATGTCACTCGGTATTGCGACTCTTGCGAAGTTTGCCGACGCAGCAAGCCCCGCAACCGCAATCCCTACGGCGAGTTACACCCGATGCCTATCCCACGGGAACCCGGTCTCTCCATTGCCATGGACGTCACTGGTCCGTTTCCTCGCGATCGGCTTGGGCACGATGGCATCCTCACGGTTGTGGACCGATTGAGTAAGTACGCACGTTTTCTCCCTTGCAAGTGCTACTCCACGGCTCCCGAGATGGCACACCTCCTGCACACTGGTTGGATTTGTGGCCACGGTGTACCAGAAGACATTGTCAGCGACCGCGACACTCGTTTCATGTCGGCGTTTTGGACTGCTCTCATGCAGGAGTCCGACACAACAATGAAACCAAGTTCGGCTCGACATCCTCAGACAGACGGGCAGACGGAGCGGGCACATCAAACCGCTCAAATGATGCTTTGTACGTTCATTCGTCCAGACCAGAACCGCCTCCCCGACATCGAGTTCGCCTACAACACTTCGGTGCACCCGGCGATTGGCGTGACTCCATTCGAGTTGCACCACGGTGGACGGAAAGGCCGCATCTTCGCCGACCTTCTCCTCCCTCGACCAGCCGACATTGACGCCGCTTGCTCCCTCGCTTCCGTTCGGAAGTACAGGGACTTGCTGACTCAAGCCCGCGCAAATATTCAAAAGGCTCAAGTTCGCATGCAGCAGCAAGCCAATAGGCGTCGCGTACCATGTCCCATCCGCGCCGGTGATCTGGTTTGGGTCTCCGCGGAAGAGTTTGCACTGGAACAGGATGTTTCACGCAAACTGCTTCCCAAGTGGTTTGGACCTTGGTCTATGACAGCAGCCGCGGGCGATGAGCCCGATGGCCCTTCATTTGTGATCAACATTCCAGAGCATCTGACGGTCCATCCGGTCTTCCATGCCTCGAAGCTGGCAACATACACGCCAGCCAAGAGCGACGACTTTCTGGGCCGACGGTCGCAGGACCCTCCTTGTATGGATGGCCATCAGGAAGTTGACGCGTCATCACCGATCGCAAGTACGGCAGCAAGCCGCGGCAGTACAAAGTCACATTCAAAGCATGCGATCGCGACGACACTCGGTGGATTTCAGGAGCAGATTTGAAAGCATCCGCACCGCTGATCTACGCTCACTATGATCGTCAAAGGTTAGCCAAGGGACCTCCACGCCCTGCCCCTCCCACCCGGACTGTGGTCCCTCCCTCAGACAGACAGCTTCGCCCTCGCAGGTAAGCTCGGTCCTTCAAGGAGGGGGGGGGGTGGCAGACTGCGTAGCCACACGGGCCCTGTAGGACCCGTCCCGCACATTCAGCCTTAAAGCCTAAAACTTAGGAGCTACAGGCCCCGGTCGTTTCAGCCTGAAAACTGAAAAACGAGGGCCTGCAGGCCCTACTCCGTGTCAGCCTATTTCTGGGTCTTTCAGACCCAGAGTTTTTCCAGCCTGAAACGGAGGGCTATTCTTAGGCCCTGGGCTATTTTTAGGCCCTCATTTGTTTCGACCTGCCCTAAGATTCAGGCACGAAAACTGGGTTTCGGAACAGGCTATTTCT